AAAAAATTTGTTTTTGATTATTTTTATTAGCCATTAGTGTTCTAGAATAGGTCCAACATTTATTTCATGTATTTTTTGTTTTTGGTTGTTTTTGGATCAATTTTTTTTCTTTTTTGATTTGTAGTATATTTGGTCTATGAGATTTAGAGTTATCAAGATTTCATGATAAAGACTTTATTTGGTATTAATTTCGCTATAGATGTAGTTATTTTTATAAATATCAGTTTTTTTATTCGTGACAATTTAGTTAAAGTTTAGAAATTTGATTATTTTCGATTATCCAATAAAATTTTTACTACATCATGGGATGATCTACAAAAATTGACCAATCACAATGAAAGTCCGCTATGCTTTGTGCGGGCCTATTTCTCTAAAAATTTCCATTTTCGAAATGAAAAAGTTAAAAGGTTAATTCCGACTAAAAATTATGTAAACAATTATGTAATGCGGGTCAAAATTTTATAGATCATGGCCGTTAACCAATCAAAACTGAAAATCTGCCGTGACAAAATTGGTATGGCAGCTAGGTCTTTTCCCACAATGCTGGCTGCGCAACTTGCGCAGTGTTCCATCCCTCGTCTTTGGTCTAATTCATTCAGAGTATGCACTTACTTAGCACTGACGCATTGTATTGGTCCTTCCACCTTAATGACGACAACTGAAAGACGAGACCACTTAGTTTACTAATTAGACAAACGATTATTTAATTAGAAAAGCGAACCATGCTTGAACTTTCCCTTAGGACCGTTGCTTTTTTATTATTAGATAGATTATCGATTGGATACCAGATTTTTCGGCTACATATTCAGATCCTAACCATGCTCATGCACTACAAATATCGGGATGCAATGACAGTAGGTATCAAGTTATGTTTGAGTGTTGACAATGTAAATTAAACTGTCATTGTTAAACTAGGTCCAGATTATTATAACATTTTTGGGAGTGTTCCTAGTGTATTTCTTCATTCACTATTACTAACAGTATATAACTCGCTTAGTTTTGGTAATTAAAATAATATTTTTTATAAACTTAATTAAGAAACTTATTTGAATAATATGTATACACTCCAAAATGTATATAATATAATAAGAATAATAATAAAAGCCAAACGCTTAATAAATATATTTTTTGTCGATACAGAAAAAAAAAAAAATTCTCATTTAGAGAATATAAAGCATATACAGTACGAATAGTGTACCACTTATAGTTAAACAAATCATGCATTATTTAAATTTTGACCTTCACGTAATCGTGTAGCCTTTACTTCAAATTTTTTACTTCTCAATGACGGAGTAATAAATTGAACTATCTGTAAATCTGCATCCTCCTTGACAACAAAATCAAAATTTATTAACAATGCACTTAAGATAATTCTTATTTCCATTAAAGCAAAATTATTTCCAATACAAAACCTAGAACCACTACCAAAAGGATAATAAGCATCATTTCTTATTTTCGGATCCAAATTAAACCATCGTTCGGGTATAAATTCGTCGACATCCTGACCCCAAATTTGTTTAGATCTATGAAGTTTCCAAATTGAGGCGGTAACTATTGTATCTTTAGGGATTAAATAATTGGAAATTATGGTATCACAGGTGGTTGTCGCATTATACCAGTTAATGTGACTGGAAACAATCGAAATGTTTCATCAATTATAGCATTCAAATATTTAAGTGACTTTAAAAGTTTCATGAGTTGGTAAAACCAGGTTATCTTCATATTCACTTGATTGTAGATTAGGAACCGCGGATTTCAATTCGATTCTTAAATTTTTTAATTTCTCGGGATGATTAAGTAACAAAATAATTGCCATGATGATAGTGTATGCGCTTGTATCACTACCTCCTATTAGAAAATCAGTAATTTGATCTTGTATTTCAAAGTCACTCATTGTTTTACCATCAGTTATGTCCACAGGTGTGGTTGGTGAGGATTGCTTCAACGGATTATGATTATTAAGTAGAATTTGTAAAATGTCAACAC